AGTCGCACATGTGCGACCAGTAAATTTGCCACACGTTAAACGCATGGTAAAGCGTGGAAGAGGCGCGTCAATGAATCCGTGACAAGAATAGCGCGCGTAAACGTTTGTGGGAAGGAGACGGAAACAAATATCACAAACTGATGTGCGTCTGAGCAATCAGCGATCTATCGACTCTTTAGTCGTTACCTAGCAACGAATGCAAACAAAATGAAAGTGGAACGAAAATACGCCACTCATGAATGATTAGGACCGTGGAGCTGCAGCAGCGATCCGAACCATTGACGAAATAAAGCCCCGAACTTGCCAGTCGCGGGCCGATCTCGCTCACGCAACACTGTTACTAGGAGAGCCAGTGAAGAAATCCATTGAATTCGCCTCAGAATTAATAACATCAACACCACGAGATCCAGTGAGAAACACTCCGATTCGGCGCAGAGTTCTGTTATAAACCATATCAGATCAAACAGCGCTGACGTGGAAACCAGGAAAAACACTTATAGAAGGCTTTCAGTCCACAAATCAGCCTAACAGAACCATGAATTTAGGCAAGTTAACTCTTACCATAAATATGATAATGTGTAAGTAGCCTACTATACATCCTTTCCCAGCACTTCAATAATATCATATATAAATGTTTTATTTTTTTGTATTTTTTATGTGATTACCATACCAACACATTTTTTGTTCATCCTTTAAAGATTGTCCTTAAACGAAAAATTTTAAGATGTTGGAAAACTCTTATTTAAACACTTAAAATAATAATATTAATACCATTGTAAACAGTAGGATGTTAATTGTCTATTTTCACTCCATATACATATTTTCACTACTTTTATTAATTATTATTAAGACATTATAAATGATAAAAACTAAAGTTAATTTCATCTACACCCTAAATTAAGCTTAGTGATTTATTGTTAGCCCCAGTGCTACCAGATTTTTTTTTTTTTATAGAACTGTGAGTTCTCATTTGAGGTGATGCTGCCCTCAACTTTGGGTCTGGAGCCCTGTGAAGTTAAAATAAAACAGCATATCAAGTCTATTTATTATTAAAGAATTTGTCAGTATTACAGTTATTTTGTGGGAAATTTGAATAATTGCATTGCAAGCTTATTTAAGGTGTGCCGCTAAATTTTTTGCTTGCGCTCCTAAAATTTTCAGTCAGGGGCAACAGCGCTCCTAGTAAAAAAAGTTAGTCTGGAGCCCTGCATATATAATGCGCTCCGGATTATAAGGCTTGAGAAAAGGCTGGATTAAGAAAATTAAAGGCTTTTAGGTGCGCTTTATAGTGCGGAAAATACAAGTACTACTCTCGCTTTTAGACCAGCACGCGACGTGTTTAATATAGACGCATATTAGCCTACACCAGATTTTCTCTCAAATGTTTGCTTTCACTTTAGACATACAGGGGTTGGACAATGAAACTGAAACACCTGGTTTTACAACACAATAATTTGTTAGAATGGTGAGGGCCTCATTTTGCATCCAAATACAGCACCAATTCATCTTGGGAATGACAGATAGAAGTCCTTCACAGTGACCAGAGGGATTATGAGCCGTTCCTCTTCAAGAACAGTGTCCAGGTCACTATATGATGCTGGTGGACTCGCTCCTCCAAAACACCTCAATAATATTTAGATCTGGTGACTGCATGTTCAACGTCACTTTCATCTTATCAAACCCTTCTGTCACAAGTCTTGCTGTGTGTGTTGGTGCATGATCATACTGATACACGGTTTGAGCATCAGGTGCTCATGATCCTCCAGAAGGGTTTGGTAGTCCTCGGCAGTGTCGTGTCCATCAAATACAATCAGGATTGTCATGATATTGGAGCTCAAACCATCACTGATCCACCCGTGCTTCACTCTGAAGATTGGCCGCCAGGCATATAGATGTGAAACCTCCAACATTGGCCAGTGTTTCAGTTTCATTGTCCAACCCCTGTAGCCAATTCTGTTTATGTAAACATTGTGTGTATTTAACAGTATTAGCATAAGATAACTTAGTCCAATATTCAGGCGCTGTTTGACAGGCTTCTAGGTGCCTGTGAGCGTCGGGGGTATGCCGCATGCTCAGGAAAGCGCACATTAGAACAGCGCGTGAATTAAATGTTTAACCGGCAAGGCTTATGCAAATAATGAACTTTTGTGAATTGCAGTGTCCCGTACCTATTCCTTAACGTGTGATTTGTACAGTTGAGACAGAGGCGCCAGAACTGCTAATTCTGATACTACTACTACTACTACGATACTACTACCATATTTCTTCAAAAGTAGATAGTGGAGACATTTAATATTCGTTATATCGCACACCCCTAGAATAAACCATTTAACGACTAGTCGTCGACTGTTATGCAAAACTAGTCGACTAGCAAAAATCAGTAGTTGTGAAAGTTGTGTAGACTGTAGTAGTTCAGGTTGCGGATGGAATGAGCTGGGACAATTTACTGTCAAGTGAGTGGCATAAGCTGTCCGCTCTCAGAGATTTACTCATCCCCTTCGCTGAGCATACCCAGTTGCTCCAGAGTGACACACAGTCATTATCCATTGTGGTGCCTGCCCTTCTGGACCTGCAGGGTCACCTGTCTGAGTTCCCCCATGCCCAGGGATCTAGCTTTAAGGACCTCGCTTCCCTGGCAATTAAGATGAAGGCAAACATGGACAAGAGGTTCAGCTGTTTTCTTGATCACACTGACTCAAAGTTTTCACCTCTCGCTGCTGCTGCATGCTTCCTTGACCCGACAGTTGCATCTGAAGCACTCCTTGAAAACGATGACGAGCAAATAGAGGCACTTCTGAGAAGATCAGAAGATTATATTGCTCAATTGGTGCCACCAGTTGTACGGGAGGAGGAGGCTGAAGATGAGGAGCCAGAGGAGGGAGAAGAATCCAAAGGAGAGCAGCCTCATAACAAGCGGCCCAGATTCAGATTTTTGTCCAAACCAAGCCGGCCTTCCAACAAGTCTACCCTCTCAAAGCCCTGTGTCAAGGAGGAAATGAAGAAATTCAAGGAGCAGTTGTCACAGCATACAAGCCAAGAGACTGCCCTAGAATTTTGGGCTGCACAGGGAGATTCTGTTTATCTGTGCTTAAAACCTATTGCCTTGGACCTGCTAGCCATGCCAGCATCTCAAGCATTTGCTGAGAGAGTCTTTAGCATTACAGGTGACCTCAGTCGTGGCCGTCGTAATAGAGCAAGAGTCATTTTAGAAAGAAGTGCTTTCCTGAAACTGAATCGAGATCAGTAGGCTAATTTAACAGGCATTTCATGTTTATTTTATTTTTTACAGATATGTTGTTATATGTGATATTCTGTTTTGGGCTTGCTGTGAGACTGCACTAGAGGTAGGGTCCTCCTCTAATTTATTGTTAAACCAATGCTGTTTTTATTTATTTCGTAAGTTTTTTTTTTTTTTTTTTTTTTAAGCAGAGACCAAATACAGTGTTTACATTATTCAGGGATTGTCTTGTTCATTTTTATGTTCAACACACTTCAAGTGTCATGTTTGTTTCATACTTTATATTCAAGTATGCATTTCTAAAAACCTAACTTCAATGCACCTAATTATTATTTATTTTATTATTATTTTGTTTCAGAATGTTTGCAACTTTGCAGTTTGCTCAAATTAAAGATAGACAGTGTTGTATGATGTTTGTGTTTACAAATTATATGCATCTTGTTGCACTGGCAGACAAGTTGAAGAAGTTTTTGTAGATCTTAAGTATGTGTTTCTCAATAGCTAATATTTTGGGCACGTTGTTCATTGCACTTTAGCAATTTCTTAAATAAAGACACAATTACAAAGTAAGAATGTTTTTATTCCTGGCTTTTTCTTGGAGTAAAACAGTGATTCCACTGGTACCACTATCTGTGTGTAATGTTCTAGTAGCTCAAAGTTTTTTGCTGTTTAAACTTTAAACCATTCCTTTAGTACAGTGATTACTGGTGAAGATAGCATTTAATATTAAGGGGTAAAACTATAACTTGAAATATGGGGATAAACGGTTTCTGCCCAATGTGACAATGAAGTACAGCTTGGCAGTGGCAGCACTGCATCTCCATCAATGATAAAGTCTAGTTTATTATGCAAAGGTTTTAAGATTAGCTGTTGTTTTATGAATTGCAACACTTGCAATACAACCCTTCAAACTTAAGCCCATTTCCAATTGTTTTTAACCAAAATTATTTGTTAAAGACTACTTTTTTTTAACTAAAATTGACTAAAACCTTTTTGTGTTTTCGTTGACTAAAACCCTTTTGTGTTTTCGTCGACTAAAATTGACTAAAACTATTAAGTTTATAAGTGACTAAAATGTGACTAAAACTTAAAAGCATTTTCGTCCAAAAGACTAAGACTAAAACTAAAAGGGCTGCCAAAAACAACACTGTCTCCAAATACTCTATTCGGTTAGATTTTCAATTCTAACGTCACGGTTCGATTTGATTCTCAATTTTTACTTGTGTGTGTGTCCTAAAAAGCTGACATCAGTTCATCGCTAAATAAAAAACTAAATAAAATTGTATTAAGTTTTGTTTTATTCATAGATATTTCTAGTGTGCGGGAAAATATGAACATAAATGCACTTAGATCATAATCTTGTACAGTAGTTCTCATTCACATTTTGACTATTAACAAATCTAACCTTTGGTACATCAACAATATGATATTTGATAAACAGTTCTTACTTGTTTTTCTGTTATTAAATCAGAATTCACTTGAAAATTCACATTTATCCCTCCAGAGCTCATTCTAATAACATAATATGTTTTAATGATTCAGACTTGATGGAAGTGAAAGAGCAAAGACAATAACTGAAGTTAAAGGTGATGCTGTAGTTTGTTTCAGCCTGTTGACACCAATAAAACTATTTAGTGCGCCAGTTTACTGAAGATCTCAGACATCACCAAAATGAATTAGATGAAAACAGGGAACTTTTGGAGACAAAGAGGTTTTTCAGTTGCTCAGTTAAACATGATAGCCCTGTTCTTTTTAAATGCAGATTGGGAAAAACAGTGATCACAGTTCACACCTGCAGTGAAGCCCCTCCAACAACAATTCACCAATAAATACTGGGAATATTCCCATCATCCTACAAGAGAAGGACAAACCCCAGGAGTAGCAGCTGAAATATGTGTGACTGTTAAAGATGGAGTTTATTAAAGAAGAGATTGAAGACATGAGTGATCCAGAACCATCCAGAATAAAACATGAAGATACTGAGGAACAAACAGGTTGGTGTCCATTCTTGATTCGTCATTTTAGATGTTTAAATGTGAATTAATAAGCAGTATATGGATGACAAATGATCATAGCCTTTATAGCAGTGTTCAAACACATTTTTACTATATTAACAATAAATGACAGAATAACAAGTGAAAGATCTCATCTCTGTTATTTTCTGCTATTAAATAAGGGTTCACTTGAACTGATTCTAACTGTATTTCTGTGTATTTTAGACCAGATGAGAGTGAAAGAGCAAAGACAAGAACTGAATGAAGAGGAACATCATAACTTTACAATTCAACAAACAAAAGCCAAAAAGACGCACACCTGCACTCAGTGTGGAAGGAGTTTCACACAGAAAGTACACCTTAAAACACACATGAGAATTCACACTGGAGAGAAACCGTACTCATGCACTCAGTGTGGAAGGAGTTTTTCAAGGTTGGGCTGTTTTAACCTGCACCAGAAAATACACAATGGAGTGAGAGATTATATGTGCTTTGACTGTGGGAAGAGATTTACTACATCTGGTGATCTGATACTGCATCAAAGAATTCATACTGGAGAAAAACCTTACAAGTGCTCATATTGTGACAAGAGTTTCCCTCAGGCTGGACACCTGAAATCACACGAGCGAGTTCACACTGGAGAGAAGCCGTACTACTGTACTCAGTGTGGAAAGAGTTTCACCCAGTCAAGTAATCTAGGGAAACATATTAGAAAGCATTGTTCTGTGTCACAGTGAGCAAATAATTTGTTAGATTCACAAAGAAAATGTGTTGTTAGTTAACTAATGAACTATTGCTGCGAAATGGCTCAAGATTTGTGTTTCATATGTTGGAGAACAAGAATACTATTGAAAATTATTTAAATTAAACGCTTGCTCAAAAAAAAAACCAAAATGAAAAGAGACTGGAAACAAATGCTGAAAAAAAAAACATAAAATAAACATAGGCTACGTTTCACATTTGTGTTTACTAATATTACGTTACTTATTTTTATTATTTCTTCTATGTTGAGTAGGCTATGAAAAGGGAACTGCATGAGATGAGTAAGATATCCGACCAATATCGGAAAATATTTGGAGTGGGTCAGACATGATTTTGACCACTTATTAAGTTTTGTTTTGTAGAAAGCTTGTAAATTTCGTTTGATATAAATTATATCTTTATTTTAATAAATGTTTCATCAACAAATTGACTGGATTAAAACAGCAAATATCAGACAATATAATTAGGACACAGAGGCGCGCACGTGAACCGGAGAGCGCGTCTAATATATTATGAACCGAAACACTGCGATGCTTGCCTCACAGACCTGAGAACTAGGCTACAGAAATCTTTAAATGTCTACTTTTAAACAAAACAATTAAAAACGAAAATAAATTGGCAACTCTCTGCGTATGTAGGCTAATTCGAAGTATCTCTCTATAGGCTTATGCGCGGTCACTGCGAAGATGGCGAGTAAGCATCATCAACTTTATCTTTGCTGCTGACACTGACAGAAAACACTAGTTTATTAATAAACAATTCCAATGTTTCATGCATAATCATTACTTTTGCCAATTCTTTGTGGCAAGCTTTATGCATGCATTGAGATGCGGAATAGGCAATTAATAAACGCTCATATGGTTTCTCTCCCATTTAATTAAATCAATATAAGTGATTAGCCTACTGATTAGACAAATGGCTTAAATGAACTACTACTATAGTCGACTAGAAAACTAGGACTCATTTTGGGGAATGAATGAACATAATAAACCTCTGTTCAGAGTGCCGCCGTGCTGGATTGCTCATCGAATTTGAGGACTTATCGCGTTTAGGCTAAAAACAGGGCTGGCGCTTATCGCGGTTTGGAAAGAAACTGTATCTTGCAGTACATTTTAAACAAGGAAATATAGCGATTTGGCATGAAACGTTGATGGGGCAGTGAAAGGGTTCTGTCCACAGCAGAATGACACGACAAACTCATTTTTTTTTTAAAAATGGCGTTTATCGCGTTTTGGAAAAGAGCTCTTCATGTTTTTTTAGTTACATAAAGCCTGTTATTACATATACAGATGTATGTACAATAACAAAAAAAAAATTACCATCTACCCTCTACCTCTATAAAAATTAATGCATTGTTTTCTTTGTTTTTTGATTAAAGCTATTGTATACGATGTTAAAAATCGGTCGAGACGGTAGGGAAGTTTTAAAAAACTCATCCCGCCCCTCCACACACCCCCCCTCCCCTCTGTGCTACCTGATCCCTGACGTATGTCACGTTTGAGTTCACGTCAACGCAAGATTAGCAACACATGAAATGTTCTAAACTCCCCACCACCATTATAATACTACTAGTATTGCTAAGGTTTTCAGTAATTGTTATTGCAGCACGCAGCGCATCTTGTTCAAATTCTGATCGGCTCGAACAGAAACCTCGAACAAGAAATATAATTACTTTGAACCGCGATCGGCGATGCTAAACGGCTAACATTCCAATGCCGACCGGCAGCATGAGCAAGTTGTCAAACTGATAAAAAGCCACGTAACACGTCACACCATAAAAGAATAAATAAATGTTTACCTGCTCAACAAAAAGTCATCCGTGTCAGCGTCGTTTTCAGCCCCAGATCTCCCTGAAGCTTTCTCCAATGGTCAATGAAGGACGCTATATTTATCCTACTTAGAGTCCGGCGTTCGTCACATTTCTTTTTAATCTCTGATCTTTCCTCCACAGACTTTCTCTTGCGTCCAAACTTTACAGTAGAGGCAAGCAGGGGCCGCTTGCTGTTGTCGTTTATATTTTTATCCATTGCTTTATCCATTATCCATTGCTGATCTGACGCTACTAGCTAGCTACCATAGACAGTCTGTCAGCTCAGCTGTTTGCTCACGCACGGAGGGGGGCGGGTGCGGTTGGGTTGGAGACGCGAGTGCCAGGCAGAGTTTCAAGTGGAGCTGGTGATTAGATGAGAGCAGTTGACCAATATAAGCTGTACGGCCGCACAGCTTACATTGGTCAACTTTTCTGCGGCTGTACAGCCAATAGAGTGAATGGATTTTTTTCGTTCTTTTTTCTATTCATATTGTTAGGATTGTACTATATAACCATAACCAGCATCTAAACGAGGATATTAATAATGAACAATCTTTGAAATCGTATACCCTAGCTTTAAGAGGGGAGGAAATGTTATGCATGTAATACTGCTATTCCCTCATTTTGCCTGCAGGTGGCACTACCACTTGTGTTCGTTTCGTTGTTTTCCTTAATAAGTTCAGAAGAAGTAAAGTATCCCTGAATGTTAGCAGTGTTATTTGAACGTGGTTTACCCCAGAGCCATAGAGAGAGTTACGACACTCCCATAGACCGCCAAAGGAACTTAGGAATGCGGAAATAACAGGTTTTAGCCAATAGACGGGGAGCAGCCAATAGTTCCAAACACTGATAGTTCCAGCATTGAACCCCATTCATTTTCAGTGCTTTCGAAGTACGTTTGCTGGTAAATTAATGAAATCATTTTTATTACTATTACACACATTTGCCGACCTCTCGTGAATCTAGTCAGTAGTTATGTTTTATGTAGCCAGTTTTAGTAAAAGTTTATTGGAAGATAATAGATTAATTTGCTGATAGCTTACGTGACCAATACTTCACTAACGTTAACTAATTTACGGTAACCTGATGTATAAAGTATATAATTTTTTTCTTTATTTTTATTGGGAAAAGCAAAACAATACAATACATCAATTTACAGATACAACTTATCCTTTTTTTCCACTCCCCCCACCCACTCAGCACATCACGACCAACATACAGGGGTTGGACAATGAAACTGAAACACCTGGTTTTACAACACAATAATTTGTTAGTATGGTGAGGGCCTCATTTTGCATCCAAATACAGCACCAATTCATCTTGGGAATGACAGATAGAAGTCCTTCACAGTGACCAGAGGGATTATGAGCCGTTCCTCTTCCAGAACAGTGTCCAGGTCACTATATGATGCTGGTGGGCTCGCTCCTCCAAAACACCTCAATAATATTTAGATCTGGTGACTGTGCAGACCATGGGAGATGTTCAACGTCACTTTCATCTTCATCGAACCCTTCTGTCACAAGTCTTGCTGTGTGTGTTGGTGCATGATCATGCTGATACATGGTTTGAGCATCAGGTGCTCATGATCCTCCAGAAGGGTTTGGTAGTCCTTGGCAGTGTCGTGTCCATCAAATACAATCAGGATTGTCATGATATTGGAGCTCAAACCATCACTGATCCACCCGTGCTTCACTCTGAAGATTGGCCGCCAGGCATATAGATGTGAAACCTCCAACATTGGCCAGTGTTTCAGTTTCATTGTCCAACCCCTGTACATATTACAGGTTATTGTATAAAATACAAACGGTACAACAAAACAAAAACAAACACGCATTCAGTTGTGTAGTACCACTAAATCAGTAAAATAGGAAATTAAAGGTTGCCATTTGTTGAAAAATTTGACTGTACATCCTCTGAACATGTATTTAATTTTCTCAAGTTTTAAAAAATACATGACGTCACTGAGCCGTTGGGAGCTAGAAGGATATTTAGCAGATTTCCAGTGTAACAATAAAGAACGTCTTGCTAGTAAGGATGTAAAAGCTATGATGTCCTTTTGTGTAGGGTTAAGTGTAAGAGAGGGGTTAGGAATTCCAAATATAGCAATCAGAGGACACGGTTGGAGATTTACCCCAAGAACAGAGGACATAGTATTAAAATAACCCAGCTAGAAATCTTCCGAATCAGGACAAAAAAACAAAAAAAACATGTGGCTTAGATGACAAGGAGAGCCATGACATTTATCGCATTTGTCTTCCACATCCGGATATATTTCAGATGGTCTAAACTTAGAGAAATGGAGTTGTGGTAGAACATATCCTCTCTATGGCCTGCTCCTGTATTTGTATTCCCAGTTCACTTTCCCATGTACACTTAAGTTTGTCATTTGAATCATTGCTAAAAGCTAAGATAATGTCATATACTGTAGCTTGGAAATGATACCTCTGTTTTGAGGGACAAGTGAAAGCATGGTTTCCCACTGATGCTCTGGAGGTAAAGAGGGGAAATTAGGGAAACACTTAGCCACAAAATTGCGAATTTGAAAATAGCGAAATAGATGACTAACAGAGAGTTCATAGTGAGATGACAAATTGGTAAAACTGTCAAAGAGACCGTCTACATATAAATCTCTTAATTGAGTAATACCCTTGTCATACCACTGTGAAAATGTCGAATCCGAAAGTGATGAAGGAAATAAGTGGTTGAAATGAATGGGAACAAAGGAGGAAATTTAAACCATCTACAAATTTAAAGTGTCATCTAAATTGATACCAGATTTTGAGTGTGTTAAGAACCACTTGATTATCGGTGTATACAGAAGGTTTTGTTGGTAAAGAGGTATAAAGTAAAGCAGGTACAGAAGATCCCTTACAGAGGCCTGGCCTCTTTCCACTTTTGTGAGGAGACTTTGTTTCTGATCTCCCAGTCAGTAGCAGCTGACTCAGAAGATGCCTCACAAGTCACTGCTGTATCTTCTAATGTACCGTCTACTCCATCCTCAAGCAGATCAAGGAGCTCCTGACCGAGCACTTCAGTTTCAGATCCTAACAGAAAAACAATGAAATAAATAACTTCACCAATAAACCAACTCAGTTGTTTCAAATTTACAACAACTCATACATTTCTACCTAAACTTAAAACTGTCAAGAAATGACATCTAAACTAATATGTAAGCGATAATGCATAACGAGGAGGTTGTTATAGCGAATGTTCTTCAACGTTTTGGCATAATGCAACACTTAACTTACCTCCAAAACCCCAAGAACTCTGTTTACATCCTGAAGCTCTTCCTCCAACTCCAAATCTTCAGCATCAA